TATACATATACATATACATATATATATATACATATACATACATATATATATATACATATACATACACATATATATATACATATACATACACATATATATATATACACATACACATATACAGTGGGTACGGAAAGTATTCAATTAATGTCTACATTTTAACAGTTACTACTCGAACAAATAATCTATATCTCCATGTGATGTCAGATTTCAATGACCTTGTCAGATCAAATTCCAGGTTAACATCAAGAATAAGAAACATCAGTGCAATATTTAAATTTCTAGATTTGCAGTGATTTGCTTACAGAACTGTTTATAACTCGTCTCTTGATCCTCAAAGCTCATACGCAAGGGAAAGAGATCTAACCTTTAGTGTATCTGAACTACCAACTAACGTTAGCTCCCCGGCACTAACAAGGCCAATGACAGTCACTGTGACTATGGAGATCGACTGGTTACTATCCGCGTATTTAAATGTAATGTTTGTCATTCGGAAGGCCTGTATAAAAGGTCAAAGCCATGCAATACGTACGTAACCAGCTTTAGTAAGAGCTCGATTCACTGCCCCACTGATCCGCCACATTGAGGAAACCATCTTGTGCACCACCACCGCTGACTGTCTTCTTCCTCTTCTTTTTGTTTAACGACGGTTAGCAAACCTACAAAGTTCAGTACCGCCACCTATTGTTGGCATGGACTCATGGACCTCTTGGTGGCGCTATACGGGGAGGCTGCAGACCTGGAGCAGGCAGACCCATAGACAGAGCCAATAAAATACTGTATTTATTATGTCTATGGGCAGATCTACCAAAGAACTGACAAGAAGTGAAAGCCAATAGAACGTTCCATTGCAACAGCGGCGCCCAGCAGCAGCCCTGCGCTTCCGCCATTTAGGAGTGAAAGTTCACGAGCTTCTTCTTCTTCTTCTTCATTGGAGTTTTACGGCAGTTGGCATCCATAGTGTTGCATTACTGCCATCTGCTGTCTCACTTTAACTTACTATATCTTAATTAAATTCGTCCTTCCAGTCCAGTCCTCCTTAGAAAATTAAACGAATATCTCCGTCCTTGGTCATTATTTCCACATGTTACTATATTTTTAACATTATACTCTACTATACCTATTTCCCGTAGCTGATTCTTGAACTCTTGCCTTTCTTGTATATATTTCTTACATGATATAAAGATGTGCTTAATTGATTCCTTCTCCTGACATTCATCGCATAGTCCTGTCGGGTGTTTTCCTATAACATGAAGAGTTTTGTTTAGCCTGCAATGTCCAATCCTCAGTCTATTTATTGTGACTTGTTCCTTCCTTTTATTTCCCTTCTTACTTTCCATACCTATCATATTTTGTATCATGTACAGATGTCTCCCTTTGATAT